TTGATACAATAGCATCTAACGTATATTCTACGGATTTGCACATATTTATAGGAAGTTACTATTATATACAATGAAGAATTATATTCTTTACAGAAAAATATTTATAATTTATCCCTGGATGTGCGGTAGAATAATCATGAATAAAGTGAATAGTTATTATTTAAAGACAAACTATAAACATTAGAAATACATTAATGTTTCTTTATTAAAGTTAATGTTAATGTTAATGATATTTGTACTGCAACTCTAATAAAAATGAATGAATTATGCAACACACCGATCAAAACTTTAAGTGTAATGTTAGTTGCCTATAGTGGCGTCCTATATCGACCTAAATATGAACAAAAAATGAATTTTATGTGGACAATTCTTTGACCTATATCAATATAAGTTTCAGTTGGAATAAAACCGGATATTAATGAACTTTAACGTTTAAACAACGATTCATTAAATCGCATAGTTGTGTACCCGCCAGGCATGAGTTATATCCGCAACGCGCTCGTTACTATTGACGTTATATTAACGTTAATGTAATAATCACAATCATATTCGCTGGCTTTCATTCATCTATCTTGTTTCGTGGTCTCGGTGCAGATATTTGTCGAGATATCGACGTTCAATAAATCTATTTCAATGATTTTCATTTAGCAATAATCGTCAATAAAGCCGCAAGATATAAAATTTACGAGAACGTTTAAATTGATTTTATATTTATTTAAAATATTAAACATTGCAGTGTTATAGAAGTAAATATTTAAAAGTTTTAATCATTGTACATGTTATTGAAATGTTGAAAAGTTTGACATTGAAATATTTTATATATACAAATTGTTGATCTGTCGGAGATAGAAATTAAACATCTAATTAAATGTTTATCGATCCCAACGCAAACCGCAAAATAATTGCGGTTATTTCGTTAGGTGCATGAACTTGATTTACTGTTTTGGAAATGTTTTTATAATGTGTTTAATAAGATGTGTATTGTGGTATGCACATATAGTAGTTTGATTTAATAATTCTAACCAAGTTTTTAATATTTAACATTTAATTTAGTTAACCTAGCGCGTTGAGAATTATGTTATTAAGATCGGATATCAACACAATTATTTCAATTATTTCGCGCATCGAGGGTAACAAAATTCCGATTTGAACGCGAACGCGCAAAACGCGCGAATATCCTTCTAGTTTCTCCTTGTACGCTTCATCAATAATTTTTGCACAATGCTCACAATGCTAGATGTGACTATCAACGCATTAAAGCACTTTAAACACAATTTTAACAGCAAATTATTTTGAGTGTATATTTTTTTATTACTATTTCCGTGTATTTTATGTTTAAAATATTGCAAAAACAATAATTTTGGGTGCATGAACTGTAAATTTTTAACTGAATGTTTCACGTTTCAATGGTTTTATTGTTTTATGTCAGAAATAAGGTTTTATTTGAACGAAAATGCTTGAAAGGTTGCATATATTAAAGGTTGCATATGGCAACACCGCAATATATCAGGCAACATTCTACAGCCATAAATCGCTGTTATTTTTAATTTTCCAGATTATAAATGACTTTTCATACCTAAAATTTTTGTAAAAAGGAAAAATGTTTCTCAAATATTTTAGTTTTGTGGGTAAATAAGAACTATTCACTTCATTAATGAATATTTTATTACATAATCTGAGAGTATAAAGATAATAAATTATTTTTTGTATAGAATGTAAGTCTACTGTTTATAATACTAACTTCTTAAAAATGTGTTCAAATTCAATCAATCTGTCTTAGATGCTATTGTATCAAACAGTTTGAAGGGTAACACACAGCAAGATACGAGAAGTGTGAAGATAAATTGTCCGCGAAGGAAACTTTAAGTAAACAATAAATATTTATTTAATTTTTGGTAAATAAGTTGAAATATTTCGTTATAAGTCTGATTTTTAATTATTTATTGTTCAAATTTGAACTCAGTTTAATTTTTATGTGAAGAATTCTTTATAGTAACACTTTAATGGCAATTAGCAACGTTTGAAAACAGGTCCATAAAATGACGCCCGTAATGATATTTATGTCTGTTAATTGCATGAAATAATTTATAAACTGATTGCGGCGAGGACAAACCTGAAAATTTATTTCTCATGATCGTGACATTCCGTTTAATTTCATCACGCGTCGCTTTGTTTTCTTACATTTTACACGATCTCGATTCCGTGTCTCAACAAAATACTTGCTAACAAAAAACGCTCTAATTATAAACATTTGTCAATAATGTTCGTATTGCTTTATAATTAATATTATCGACTATTATTAGCAGCGGGCGATGGGAGAAAAACAATGAAAACAAGATTACGTGAACGCGGACAATGTCAACTGTTTTACAATACAATTACTCCACATGTAAATGATTTAAATTCAGGGCCGGTTCTAATAGACCTATAAATACAATTCTAGCTTAAGTAGGTAGTAGGCTTAAATTGTTATATTTGCTGCGTCAATTTTGTTGATTGATTTTCATTTGCATATCTTTTACGGTTTTCACCGTTGTGCGGCGATAGTGTTACGATAGCATTGTGTGGCGACTGCACACGCGTCCAGATGTCAACGTGTTAGCCTTGTCTAATTACGTTTTCATTAATTAGCGCGCGCGTTAAGAGGAATTGCCGTTGGAATATTATAATGGAACGCGGCAAGGTTTCCGCAATCTCAGCGAGCGAAGAAAAGTGAGCGTTTTAAGAGACGCGTGCGTTTATTATTTTTTAAGTATATGCATCGATTTTATTAGATACCTTCTCTTTCAATTTGCCTATAGCGTTTAAACTTGAATTTATCTAAGAGTAGAAGGTATTATTAACATTTAGACTTCCGTCATTTTCCTGTTATGAAATAAAAAGGATATTGGTTTGTATCATTTAATGTAGGCAGCCAAAATAGCGAGGAAAATTACTTTTTTTTTAAGAATTTAGTTTTACGTAGAAGTATTACTAAAATTGCAAAACTAAGTATTAAAACAATATGTTTAAGTAAATTTATTTATTATATTAATCAAAGTTTGCATTAAAGTGAAATATTTTTTGCTATTTGGCTTTGGGTGAGTATTAAGTTCGATAATTTGTGCACAGATGGCGCAACGTACACTGAATCTGAATTTAGTTAGAATTATTTTACAATTAATTTGGAATTTATGCAGATCAATTTAAATAAATAAACTAAAATATCTTTAAATAATTATTTTTCATTAACAATTTTTTAATAACAATTTTCATTATTACATTACTATTAAAACAAACTCATTCAATAACATTTTTAGTCTTTTTTCGTGTCAATAGATAGCACTATCAGTTGTAATTGCTCACAATTTATTTACATGTTATTAAATTTTCACCTGCAAGTAATCTCTAAACCAATTTAAGTTTTAATTGGAAACATTTCTGTTTGCAACTTTACACTTTTTCGATTACTTACTTCATTTCGTTTGTTTGTTTGTCTGTTGGTTTTGCTAAGCGAAAAAATAAAACGTTAAATAAACCACCCCGCCAAACAAAAAAGAAGATAAACTAGTGAATTAAGAACGCGGGCCAAAGACAAACGAGATCATATTTTGTCGTTAAATGTTGTGTACAGAGCGACAACGACGGTACAAAAGAAAACAAACAGAGCACGCGACGAGGGTAGTGCAAGAGGGAATGGAATGAGGTGATAAATAGCGACACGCATTCAACCGCATGCCGAGTGCATTTAATTTCATTTAATCCCGAGAATTTATTTTAGGTTTAATCAAACCACACAACTAAATATAGTATAACTGGCGCAAACTTTAAACTTTAAAAAGGAATAAATTTATGTTTTTATAACAAATTTAAAATTAAATAAATTTCATATTTAAAATGAAGTAATTATAAATTTTGTATTTCCTGCAGGTATTTTTGTTTCCTTTTTTGGGGTTTCCACAATTTCACCAAGCAATAAAAAACAAGGCCGCAGTCACGTAGCGTTAATTTGCTTTCCGGCACGAAGCCTCTGACCAACACCCTTGAAAAAAAGAGTAAAAAGCCCAAAACACGATGATAAAGAAGTTAAAAATCTATTTTGGGCTAAACCCCAAATTAACAAAAAATAAAGATCTTTGCGACAAAAAAGCAAGAAAGAAAATTATGGAAGTTTTCCAAGTTCCAGTGTAACTTTATCTGTAACTCGAGTTACATCTCAAGTTCAGATATCAATACACTCGTTGGGAAACCTGTTTGGAAACAAAAGCCGCATCCAGAGAAATCGAAGAAATTGGCAAATTGGCGGAAAAGTCAGCAGGATTTAATTTCCACGCCACGTGGCATTGCGTGCCGCATCCGCCCTCTTTCAATCGCTCGCCATTCTTATCTAGCTTTTGCCTCCGGGAAAAGTTTTTGTTTGTCCAGTTCGCTTTTTCTTTCTGGCTGCTTTGACTTCTTTGTTAACTTGTGTGGCGGCTTAACTTTTATGCGGTATGCACGACTTGGGGAAAGAGTCTGTTAGCGAATGAAATCGAATCGAATGAAAAGTTATATACTATTGAAACTGCACTAGATGTTGGACAAGTTGGAGAGTTGCGTAAATTTTTGATTTCCTTTTGTTTAAGGTGTTTTTTCAAGCAAATTGCAAGCCACAATATTTACATAACCTAAAATTTTATTATTTTAATAGTTTAAATAAATAATTAGCTTTGGTTTGTAATTAATGTTATAAAAAACATTGAATTAATTAAAATTTTAATTTAAATTTTTTGTTTTATTTGAAATATAAACTTAAAATAATAATATTTTTGAAATCACGTATTGATATTTTATTTGTGTGTTTTATTTGTAAACGTAATGAAATTCTTGTGAAAAACGGGCGTAACTGGAATCGCCGGATCCACGATCTGCGTGCGTCAAGCTGAGGATAACGTCCCTCCGGTTTGGGGCAGCGTTTCGTGTAAACTCGCGCGGCTCGGCGTCGCGACGCGCCTTGCGATCGCTCAGTTCGCCGTCGAACGCAACGCGCGTCGCAACACGGGCAGCCGCCACCGACCGACCGGCTACCGCCCCCTTCCAGGCTCGTCCAGCAGGAAGGACATCGCGCATCGCGAGTTTCAAACTTTTTACTCCACACAAAAAATCAAACGCGCTTAAAATCAAATTTACACTCATTCTCCAAACGAAGAAAAAAATGTTACCCAGAAAAGTTTTGCGAAAACTTGAAAAGTTTTAACATGCGATTAGACTTAAGAAAACTGCCATATAAACAAATAAACTAAACTAATATTTATACCGTCAATATCAAAATATATAAAAATTGTAACATTTACAAAAAAAAAACTTAAAAGATAAGTAAATTAGTGTGTAATAAGTGTTTTAAGTGTTAGCGAGAAAATATTTATAAAAAAGGTGTGTGCATGTGTGATGCACGAGTGAAGATGAGTTCGGTGGTGTTCTTCGTGATGCTCTTGGTTGCGGCGGCGGTGAGCGGCGGGCCGGCGTGGAAAGACCAGAGTGTGCAACGCGGTGGAGGCATCAAACTAGGAGGCGGAGGCGGTGACCAAACCGCCGGATCTTCATCAAGTGGGACTCAACGCGGCAGTGGGTTGCGTCTCGGCGTTGGCACTCGGGGTTCCACACGCACAACAACGACAACTGCTGCGCCGGATGACGAGGAACAAATTCAAACACCTTCGGCACCGACCGCCTACGGCCTGCCGCGTCTTCACGTCGGGATGGTGGTACCCTATAAGTCGTTTGGTACTCGTGAATATACCAAAGCAGTGACATCCGCAAAATACGCTCTTCAGAGAAAGTTTCCGATGCTTTTCAAAAAATACGATCTGCATGTGCATATTGTCATGAAGGAGATGACACCAAGTCCAACAGGTAAAAATTATTCATTTTATACTTAAAAATAGAAAATTTGACAAAAAAATTTAATTTTTTACTTTTTTTGTGTGAAAGAAAAGATGAAAGCTTTTTTTGGGTGTATAAACATACAAAGTCAAAGACAAAGGGCGAAGAAATATGGGCGTTGCTCATTGTAACGTGTGGCGACCTGTGATATCCTTGAATAGAACGGATATTGTCGTCAATACACTTGCAGTGCTTATCCGCGCTTGAGACGTGTTCCGCTTCATTTGCGATCGGCTAAAGCGAGCGTGTTGCTTTGCTAGCAAACTCGGAAAACACCTATTCATGTCAATGTCAGCGACTCAGTAGCAACGAGCAGTATTTCGATATGTTTTCGTGTCAAAAGAAACAAAAAATAAATTATGTGACTGCCTATTCATCGTAATACACTGTTGAGGTTATGTTTCGGTTCTTTTATAGGTTAAGTTAGGTTAAAACACACAAAGAACACAAATATTTCTTTGATGTTGTCATGAAAGCACAAAAAATAACTCTACAGTGGAAACTTTGTGATTTCAAAGATTGCTACCGCATAAATTTGTGTTCTCATCAAATATTTCCATAATTTTTGTTGTTTTATAAGGAAATTTACATATCATTATCAAATTTTCACTTCTTACACTTTCTCTTAGCTTGCGGTAAGAAGTATATTGTTACCTCAGCTTGTTTCTTGTTGTTCTTGTTCGCCGACTTAATTTTTCAATTTTCATCTACTTTGCGTCGGATTTTTTTGGAAACTCAGCTGGCCGTCTTCTCACGGCGACTGCCTGTTTAATATCTTTTTAGTAAGCGTTGTAAATTTATTTTTCAATTTGTTGCGCTACACGAAGCATGCGAAGAGGGTAAACACGCACGTATCAAAAGTTTAAGTTCAAAATGTTAGAAGTTAATTTAGAAAGTAAACAATCATAAACGAAATAAAGCGTTTCATCAAGCCACACGCAGTTTAAGATGTATTATTAGATAGAATATAATTTTCTTGTCTGGTTATTATCATTAGGTTATATTTATGTTTGCTTCCGTTGTTGGAAATTAACTTGAGCGAACGTGATGCGAATGAAAAACTAAAACGTAAAAAAATGAAAAAGTTATTTTGATCGCTTGCATTCGCGCTGGTTGTTTTATGAATGCCTTTTGTTATGACGATGACAATGACATTCCAAATGAAGTTTTACATAGTTGCATTAATTTGATTACATTTGTTACATAAATCAGTATTGTGCCGTGAATAACAATATAAAATACATATTAATAATAAATTTAGCTATTGAGACCTCAAAAAGAAAAAAATGCAGATATTTTTGTTGTTTCTTTTGTGTTTTTTTTGTTGACACTTTCCTCTTGACGTTTATCACCCACTTTAGGTTATGTCTCTTCTATCCCACCACTATTATATCATGCACTTAGACGTCACATTGTTATATCTTGCAAAATACCCTTAGAAAAGTTGACCAAGGAGCAAAAAAAAACGAAGGCATCAACTAACTCAAGATAAAAATAAAATACAACTTGCTACCGACCCTTTTCTTACGGTGATGCACGGGATTAACCTATTTTCAACGCAATCGAAAAGGTTCAAACGTAGGAAAAGAATTATCATCATTAGTTGCGTGCTGTAGAGGTACTAGGTTGCTATCGGAGTAGTTTGTTGAGGTTGTTCACAATTTGGGCGATCGGGCAGCGGAACGGCCTGCGGACAGGTCGGGTGAGGATGGAATACACAAGAGATCTTCTTCACCACCCTGGAAAACGGTCACAAAGGCGGTCAGGACAATGTCTATTTCTGGCCGACGAGATCTAAACAGTTTGCAACCTCCTCGAACGGACGTGATCTATGGATAAACGGTTTCTACGAGGGTTTGAATTTAATTTATTTATGCTTTTTCTGTATTTTGTTGCAAAAATTTGCGGAATCTGTGCATGAGACGTAAATAAATGTATACATCAAGGACTTTGGAGCGCAGACAGTGGTCACTAAAAGGATTTTTGCCGCTGCTGCATGACAAAAAGCATGACGGAGGATTTTCGCACGAAAACTGTTCGGAACGTATGACTTCCTGCAGCGCGACATTCAGTTTCGTTGCCGCTTGTATGTTTTTACGACATGAAGGGGATGAATCCGACTATCAACCGCGTCCGCTTTTACCCTTTCGCTTCTTCTTACTAGATTTTATAAGAATCTTTAAAATAACCAACAATAAAATAGAAGAAAAGTGCTGGAAACACATAAAAATCATAAAAATAGATTGGTTACGATAAAAATACAGAAAAAAGAAATAAATTGCGTGTATAAGTTGTTTTGAAGGTTAGAACACAGCTTAACCTTACTTATACACATAGCTCAATGTCAAAATGGGTGGATTATTCTGACTATGTCGGAGATTCGTGGAATTCTGCATCATTATAGATCCATCTCCTCGTTGAGAGCCCGACGATGGCGACAATAATTTAATTCGTTCGCTCCGGCGACACGGTGACATATCCTCCACTGGGATGTCGCTAAGACGCGAATGACGTGGATGTGGCTTACGCCGACGCAACTAGAGTGTGAAAAACTAACGATTCCGGGCGTCGACGTGCCAACGTGCCAAATTGCAAAAAGTTAATGTCTCCCGACCAAAGAGAAATGCGAGGTTAAGCGACAAACGCGGTTTCGAAGACGATATCTCAACTATTTCACTCATCAACCACTACGCGATGAAGGAATCACAAAGTTGAAAGTCAATGATAATGTTCCGAACAACCTGAAAATTAATTATCTACAAAGTGATTAGTTATCAACGTAAGATTGAAATATTTACTTGATTATAATTAAATTTCAACACTATATCAACTTACTTGTCACCTGGTAACTTTTGCACAACTTTGAACATTAGCACATTTAGTTTATAACTTTGGAGTAAAGTTTTAGATAATGTTTACTTGTTTTAGTTTCTTGGTGATGCGTTGTATATTTCGCTCTGATTACAAGAATCACGCGGCCGTATGATGTGCGAGTCATTAAATCTACGTGGCGGTAGTTACAAATGTTGCGAATGTTGCGGAGGATGAAAGTTTGTCGTCAAACTGCCTGCCGTGATAATTCGTTGGTTAACAGAGGGAGTCGACAGTTTCGCGCGCCATCAACTTCCGTTTTCGTGCTTTGCCATGCGTGAGGTGTCACGAGCACGGAACACGTAATAGAGTTGCACGCAACTTGTTCAGATTTTTATGAGCTGTATAAAGGCGATATGGTTTTGACATTAGTAATAAAAGTTAAACGTTCTGACTTGTTGTAAATCATATTGAAATTGTAAAATACAATAAAATATAATATACAATATGATATAATAAAATATTTGCTTTTTGAGACGTTTTCTGTAAAATTTGATTTTTTTGTTTTGATTTGAAAATATTTTATTATTTATTTCTGCGTTACTTTTTAATTATTATTCTATCTAATGCTATCATATTTTATTACTAAAATGAAGATGTTAATTACAAGTGGTGCAAAAAACTGAAGGTGTAATTCAAGAAGAACTAATAAATCCGGAAAAAGAGAGTAAAAGAGAGGAGTGAAGAACCTAGAGACCTCGGAGGGTTTTGCTTGGCGACTGAGGCTCGACTAAGCTCTGTGCTAACTGCAGTCTGTTCTTTTGTACCTGCGGACTACCCGCTTTAAGTGGTGGGGGAAAGCGTGTTGGCAAGTGAAACAAAATTAGTCATACGCAAGCTACGGGTCTCCTCTGAATAATGTAGCGTTGCGTAAGGGGTCCCACGTTTTAAGATAAATATACACGTATAATTACCCGCTTCAACATAAATTAAATTTGAATTCGTCTGTAGTTGTAAGCTACTTTTTTTAGGACCAGAATTTTTTTCTGCGTCTTCTTGATAAATTTTTATAATTTTCTGCACCTTTTCGCCCCAAATATTTGTACTAAAACAAATTTAATTCTATAAATTTAATGATAATTGTAATAAAATACTATAAATGACTTTTGTTTAACCATTAAAGTTTTATAACAATAATTTACTATTTCAATTTAATATTTAATTTAATTTGTTTTAATTGTTTAGTCCCTGAGACTTTAGTAGTAAACACGTTAATTAGAGCGACTTTGCGACTGTAATCTGAAGGATAATGACGATCGTTAGTGTTTGATTGTTATTTGGAAAGTCCGGAAAGAATTCTCCAAGCTCTAGACGGATTTTTATTGCCAATCAACACTTTAATCAACTCGGTAATTCCTCCGTTTTTTTATGTCAAGCGAAAAAATAAAACTTTTCCGACATCTAAGCCTTAAAATGAAACTAAAATGTTTAATTATAAAGTTTATACTTGATTTCAACGGGAGAAAGTTGTGCATTGTTAAGTAATAAAATCTTTAGTGCATCTTGAGACGCCGGCAGAAACTTGTCACCGTGCATAAAATATACGCGAAAGAAAATAAATTGAAACTAACGAGCGCGCAGTTGACGGCTTAATGGCTTAACGCACTCATTAATAATACATAATACGTCATCAGTGGGCGCGCGGCGGCGGCGACGTGGTGCTAGATTGCTTCGGGAGTTGGCTCGCCGCCGCCGCCGTAAATTTATTAGCACAACAGCACGGCCCGGAAACCTAAAACGGGGCGCTAATTAAAAAATACGTGTAAATTATCGTTATCAGTACGCTGGGCAAACGATATGAGATTCAAATTAAAAGCAAGACACTTACAAAACCTCAAATTGAAATCACAACATAAAAACACGTTACAACAGTTTTGGTTATGGTTAAAATTCAAAATTAAAGGTTACTATGTGTATATTTAGTTGCCTACTGTTGACAAACACATCACAAGTTAAAACGGACGTTAGTTTGTTTCAAAATTAATTTCAACTCGCAGCAAATTTAATAAACCACTTTGAAGCTCTAAATATCAAAGGCAGGGTGCAAACGGAGTCTCCACAACCACTCAATAAGTCTTTGTAATCGGTCCAAAGTGCCG